AAAAAAAAAAAGGATGGATAGGGCACAATACATTATTATTTTACGCACACAAAAATACTGATCTCATTGTATTATTGACCCCAAATATTGTTATAACTGGAATTCTGTGTTTAATTCATGCATGTTGCCCCATAATTGATTCTCATCCCAAGTCAAAGGCTAAGAAAAAATCAACAAAAGCCAAAAACCATTTTACATTATGCTCAACAGGAACTGAGAATCCTTAAGTACTATTTAGGTTGCAAAATTTTGTGCCAAAAATTCTTACATGTTAAACTAATTTTTAAGAAGACCTAGGAAACACTGAGGAATTTCCCCTTTTAAGTGAAACATTGTAGGGGGCCCCAGAATTAACCTAATGGACGAAGACAGGGGAAGAGATGGCTCAAGGGAAATGCAGAGAAAAAGAGGAAGCAAACAAATAGATCAGAGAATTAAGAGGAAACATACAGTCTCAGAAGCCATAGGTGGAGGCTGAGCACAGCTGCTCAGAACCAAATGCTACTTTAAAATTAAGGAAGGTTGAGAACTAAGACAAGACTTAGATTTGACTATGGCATTAGCATTAGCTATTTTAAGCATCTCTTTTGAGGTAACTTTCAGTAAAATGGTAATGATTAAGGCCGAAATTCAAGGAATTTTACAAAAGGGCAGATAACTTCCCTCCTGTCAGCTTGTTCTTGGAGATTCTGGCACAGAGGTAAATGGAAACTGGAATCTGTCAGATTAATTGGGCTGGGCAAGCAGAACAGGCAGCATGACCATAGCTTACAATGTAGTTTGCAGATATTTATATCAGGCAGTCAAAATTCCAGCCAGACTTTCTCAAAACTGGGGCAGAATTTTTTTAACTTATACTTAACTCCCTTCTCTCAGCTCACGTTAAACAAAATATGCTTGGGTCAGGATGAAACAGATGCCTGTTGTTTCTGCAGATGCTGAGATGTTCACTCATTAATATCAAATTGACAATTTTATTACTAAAGTAAAATGATTATCGTTTTTCTTCCCTCTCTGCCATGATCTACCATCAGCATATGACTACAGAAAGATGAAACAATTTATTTTAAAATAACTTAGACCCACTTGTATACGATTAAATTGGCATGTGTCCCTACTAAAATATACTTACTCCATTTCTGCACTGCTTTTTTCCCCCTCTAATGTGAAAGAAGCCTCAAAATGATCTTCCTAAGGCACAAAGAAGGACTTAAATCAGTGTCATTCATCATTTTCTTTATTCCAGACACTCGAGCGTACCTTTCTCACCACAGCACTAGAGATGGTCTACTTGGTACATTTCATTCTTCACAGTAAAGAAAAATGCCATCATTCCCCAAATCCATGACCAAGAGAAAGTTTTTAAGATTTCTTTAACTGGTACGAGAGACACAGCAGCCCATATGCCCACTTACTACCCCTGCCTGCCCTTGTTCTCTTCTCTTTTTTAAAGCTTTAAAGGTTAGATCAATAGATTAAAATCTCATTTAAAGAGAAATATAACAACACACATGTTCATTTATATCTAAAAATAAAAATAAATAATGGGGTTCTTAAACAAGGACATCTTTCTTTAACTAGGTTATGACTAGACCGGCCTGTGGGTGAAATGAGATTCTCTCTCCTCCCTTGAAATCTCTTCAAGGTTTAGAGAATTCAGTAGTTTTTAAAAGGCCTCAGCTCTGACACATATCAGGTGAAAAGCATAAGCAATGACCAACAACCAGGATGCTCTTATGGACTTGGGTTTTGATAAATTGCAACAAAGATTGGGTGGCCCAACCTAATAAATGAGAGCATGGAACTGCAGGTTTAGTTAAAATTAGTTTTGACACCATGTACAGATTCCTCAACCTAAGGTACTTTGGAGAGAAACCTCAGCTAAGGACGGATCCTGTTTCTCCTTAATGTAAATCAGCAAGTCACCTATAAAGGTGGAGTTGGCAAGAAGAGTTCCCTTCAGACTTTGAAGCAAGAGACAGGGAAAAAGAAAGATTTCTAGATAAACACAGAAGGCATACTAAAACCAAATGAAACAGACCTCACAAAACAGAAAAATCTGTTGGAGGTCTTATTAAGAAACAGAACATTCAGGGATGGGCAAAGGAAGGAAGTAACCTAGCAGCCTCCAGACTTCAGGGGAAAGTCAATCAAGAGGCTTTGAGATTCTCAGCTGAGAGTGAGTTATGTCTCGGTCCATGGTAGGATTCTGCACCATGTTGTCCCAAAGGTTTTACAGGAAGGTCCACCTTCTTCCCCACATCTCTTAACTGAGATGAGCACTCGACACACATACTCCACCCATCTGCCAGACTGCAGCTGTAGCTTCTCATCTGACCCACACTCTGCCTTGGCTCTCCACTCTCTGGCAGAGTCTTTGGTCTTTACCGCCAGGCACGATTTAGGAGTTTCACCTGTGCCAGTCTCTTAGTGATCATGGTGGCAAAAACCAGGCCAAAGAGGACACTGCTGATTAACACGTAGTCATAGTCATCCTTCAGGACGTCAAACTGTTTGGATGGATAGACTCGAGTTTGGTAAATGTCCAAACCGTAGGCTACAACCTGGAAGGCAGACAGAACAAGAATTATGGACAAAGCAACCAATGATCCACCATAGCCTTAAACTCAGGTAAGAAAGGAAATGGAATCCTCGGCTGTTTTCCCAAGGGTGAAACAAAAAGCAGCTGTCACACAGGGTGGCTGTGGAGAAGGTGGCACAGACTGGGCTGTGGGCTTTACTCACCAGACAAGTGGACTCCAGGCCTGAGGGAGCTGTGTAGATACCTCGCATTCGAGAAACTGTCTGGTTATAGTTGATGAATCGCTCTGCGTGTATCTGTACATCTGGAGAATACGGGATTAGGTTCTCCTCTCTGCAAAACAGCCAGGACAGGCACTCTGAAAACTGCTGTAAAGGGATCTCTTGGCTGCCCTTCCTGAGTCCTGGGAGGTTTCCAGGCTACATATCTAGCTTCCAATCTCCTTGGAGATCTGCTTGCATTAGGTAGTAAAAAATTTAGCAGCAGAATGTTAGGAAGGACTGCAAGAAAGCTAGCTGTCTGGAGAGTAAGATGGAGATCTTGATTCCTACACCTTGTTCTAAATCTGAAAAGAAACTACAGATGAGCAGCACTTCACACCAGAGGAAAGTCAGAGCCATTTTAAAACCAACACACTGAACCACTGGGCCAATCCCTGCTCTTCACGCCAGAGCACCTCTCGCCCCCATTTCCCCTCTAAAACTTGATTATCATCCGTGTCCTTTCCCAGCCTGAACCTCTCTCTCTCAGGCAATTCTCCAAACCACACTCCTCTCTATTCTTCACGTGCCAAAAACAGTTCTTCACACCCTGAGGTGAATTCAGGACGGAGGTGAGGAAATCTGCAGAGATGGTGGTTGGAAATACAAACATTAATACTAACAGTGAATGAGTTGTTGGCTTGCCCACATGATCCAGCCTGTTAGCCCCGTGACCTCATTCCTAGCGTCTCCCACCACTCACTGCTCCATCAGCATGGGCTTCCTGCCCTCCCCAAACTCACCAGGCATGATGTCGGGGCATGTATGCTGCCTGTTCCCTCTGCCTGGAAAGTCCTTCCTCAGACAGCCACACGGCCACCTCCTCCACCTCCTTCAGGCCTTCACTCAAAAGTCACCTTTTCAGGGGGCTTTCCCAGGCCAACTTATCTCCAATTTCACCCACACACATGTCCCCATGCCCTTCACACCCTGTCTTTATTTTTTCTCATTAGCACTTACAAGTACCTAACATAGTATATATTTTACTCGTTCTTTGTCAGGCTTGTTCCCAGCCCAGCACAACGGCACGTGACAGAGGGCCACACTTAGTCAATGAGGTTAAGTACTGTAAGGCCAGAGCCTTCGGCACTGTCCACAAGGGTCTCACCTGCTTTGCTCTGTTGGGATCTCGGGACGGCGGGGATCTAGCAAGGCCTTAGGAAGGGAAAGAATTGCTCCGGAAGGTAGCCCAACTGCATAGGAAGAAATAAATGTTCACACAGATCCAATCCCCGATGAGGGTCAGTTACAAAAATGTTATTATCACAGAAATTTAAAATAGAGTTTAAAACAAAAAAAATAGGTCAATGAGTCTCCTTTAAACAGCCAAAAACAGTAATCCAATAGTACATATTGGTCTGAATGAGGTTCCCACTTTTGAAGATGTTTTCTTCACATATCATCCTGAGACATCAGAAAATAAAGTTCTAGGGCCGGGCGCGGTGGCTCACGCCTGTAATCCTAGCTCTCTGGGAGGCCGAGG